AATATTTTTTTTAGATTATTTTGTCCTAGAAATCAAAAAAGTTTTGAGAATTAAAGACAGTATTTACAGGATCATTCATACACAAAGAAAAAAATTCTGGTAAAATTTACCGTATTGTATGATAATCACATTTCTGGTAATAAAAAAAGTTATAATTTTCATTAATAAAACAAAAATATATGGTGTTTAAACCATTAATTTTGTAATTTTAGCGCTCTTAAGGTAACGGTTTATCAGAAATTCTGGTTTGTAAATTATTGATCTTTTTACCACACATTCATTAAAAAATACAAAAGCGAAAAGTAAATTAAACAGAATAAATTATTTTTAGGCCGTGCTCTAAGGCCGTGTTTCCCAAACTTATGAATTTTGTGTACCCTTTCTAAATTTTTCATAACGCTGCGCACCACTAATAAAAAAATTAATGTATTTTTTACTATTAAAAAATTGCACAAAAGTTAAAAATCACACCTGGCTGTTGACAAAACTAATTATTAACTGTTAACTCTGCAAAAAATAGCCAATAGAAATATACGTTATAGTAAATTTTTATGGCTAGCTTTGATTTTAAATAAATTTTTTTCGAAATTTTCTTTTGTTGCAAGATATTTCGCATAAGAACGCATACCCCCGCTAAACTGTTCCCGTACCTCTGGAGGTACGCGTACCACACTTTGGGAAACACTGCTCTAAGGTATCACGGTTAAATTGCCAAATATTATCACGTATTTTAAAACCATAGTACTTTGTTAATTTTACCAAAACGCTTCGTTAAAAATTATCGAGCTTTTTGGCGTTCCCATAGAGCCAGAAACGTGGTAAATTCCACCATAGTATGGTTGTTAGACCATACCTTTTTTTCCTTCTCAGCGTAGATTCTATGTCATATCGTAAATATCGCGTAGCGTCTTAGCGTAGAAATCGCGAGTCTATGAACGTTATTTCAATTTGCTTCAATTTTAAAATGCTACGATATAAGGATTAAGAACTTTAATGTAATTACTCTGTTAAATAATTAAAAGGGTCTAATAAAGTATGACTGAACACAATAAAAGCTTAATTCTTTTAATTCCTAATGTGGTCCGAAACTCTTAAAATTAAAAATTACATAATCAAGTCACAAGATTATAATTATACATTATGATGAGAGCAATTCTTTAATAATAAGATCTTCGAGATTAAGTTAAAAACGAAATAAATTTGCAATAAATTTTTAAGTGTTTTAGGTGCAACGAGGAAAACAATCACATCCTAATTATACATTTTGATATTTTCCATACACTGTTTGCAAACGAGATCATTTAAACTTATCAAAAATTAGCTTTGTCATAGCTTTATAATATATCTCTTTCAAATGAATACGTTAGCAAGTTTCAAGATGGTGTATTAAATTATTGTTGATAGAAATCCTGTGAATTTTTATTTTCCTGTAAATTTTTACCGGCACTAATTTTTTTTTATTTTCAGAAAAAGGGTCTTTACATTTAAATCAATATATTTGTTAAAAATATTCTTTTTTACTATCATGTTTTCGGTTTTGATATTAATTTAAGTTTAAAGACTTAAAACTAAAAATGTTCTTTTATTACAAAAAAATAATAATGGTATGTTATTACCTTATTGAGCAACATTTTATGGCAAAAAATATTTAGTTATCGTTTAACAATTATTAAACTTTAAATGCGTTTTAGTGACTTTTTAATAAATCATATTTTTTTTATAACAAATTTTATGTAAAACTGTATTCTCTCAAAGTATACAGTTAAAGTGATGAAAACAAAATGACAATTAAAAATTCTAAGGCAATATTAAGAGTTATCTTTCGCATTATTGCTTAGTAATCTCCTCGTCTAAAAATATTTTACGAATTTTTATAAAGATAAAAAATTAGGTAAGAATTAAAGAAAAGGTTCGCAGATGTGATTGTTGTGGTAACCGAGCAAATTATTAGGCTTAAATTTTCCCAATAGAATTAGAAATTAAATCCATGGAACAAATTTGTGTTAATATATGAGAAACTTTTAGGAATAAATGTAAAAGATTTTGATTTTGACATAAAAGTCTGTTTATTGTCGAGAAAAAAAAATTTAAATATGATTTTGAAATAATTGGACGGTTAAGCAGCAAGAGACGAAACCAGTATAAAAATATTTATATAAATTTTGTAAAATCGTTGTTCAAAGTAGTGTTGTTTTTGGGTTCACGTATTTAATATAAAGGACAAAATTACTTAGTCTAATTAATGTAAAGATTTATTATTAGGCCAATGGCTAAAAATAAAAGTACTCATTGGCATCATATTCGTAATTACCTTGATGAAAAAAATATCATATGCTTTTTCGCGTCAACTAATTAGATATTTTCTAGCAAATTACAAAAACTTTTTTTTTTAAATTCTTAAAATGCATTAAATCGTTTTGATATGGAAATAAAAATATTTATACTCGGTCTTTATCTTTTTGAAAAAATGAACTTATAATATATAGTATATATATACAACAAAATAAATAAATACAAGAAAACACGAAGAAAGTTAAGAAAAACAATTTGCGGATATAATCGTGTGGGCTGATGAAAAGATTATAGAATTTATTTTCCGGTTTTTTTAAAAAAATTGCATCCTTTTTTTTTTTTTTTTTTTTTTTTTTTTTTTTTTTTTTTTTTTTTTTTTTTTTTTTT